CATAATCCTCCCAAAAAAGAAAAGAAAACTCTAGTAGGTAGCAGTTCATGGGTTGGGGTTTTGGAGCTGTCCAGGGTACTGACCCACCCTTTAACAGAGTTCAGAGAAAACAGAGGTAGAGAGCACTAGAAAGAACATTTAGCCATTCTACTCTCTTCCAGATGGGCTCCTACCCAGGGTCTCTCCCAAATAGTAACCAGTCAGGCAGTTGCTACACCCAGTCAGTTAATCTCTGGGGATGTTCCTCCACCTAATCCTCAAAAGTGAGAGGCAGGATAGTGTAGCACATAGAGAACAAATCTTGGGTTCTAGAAGACCTGGTTTAAGGCATGCATCTGACACATGCTGGTTGTGCAGAGGGAAAAAAGTAATTTAAACTCTTAGTGTTCTAGGCCACTCTCTAAGACCATAAGTGGCAGAGTAGATGCATATCTGCATTGAGAGAGGGAATTTCCTCACTGGGAAACCCAATGAAATCACAGGTTCATCAGCTGGTGCTTAGTTTTACTTTTCCCCTCTTTCTTTTTTATTCTTTGTTAAAAGGGATAGGATGATATGTTTGGAAATGAAGAGGACAGAGTACAGTGGTAAGTGTGTATAATGCCTGCTACTGGGGTGGTGAAGGCTGGTGGGTGTCTTGAGACTGAGAGTTCTAAGCTGCAGTGAGCTAAGTTCAGTCATCTACATTATGTCCAGCACTATTATGGTGGGGTTCCCAGACATAGAGAGCCACAGCACTGCCTAAGGAGAGCTGACTCAACCCACGTCTCAAACGGAACAAGTAAAAGCTACTTTGATGATTAATAGTGGGATCATAAGTGGCCATTGCGTAAGTGGCCAGGATAGAAAAACTGGGCAGGATAGGAAGGAAGGAAGGAAAGAAGGAAAAGGAAAGAAGGAAGAGGAAGGAAAGCAGGAAGGAAGGAAAGAAGGAAGGATGGAAGAGAGAAAGGAAGGAAGGATGGAGGAGAGAGAGGAAGGAAGGAAGGAAGGAAGGAAGGAAGGAATGACATATTGTGGTAGAAAGAGAGTGATCTGGATATGGCCAGATAGTAATATGAAGGTCTATATCTGGGAAAGAGCAGATAAAAGCCCACCTATTAGAGCATAGGGTAGTGCCAAGGGTAGAATTCAAACCAGGAGGTGGAAAAGGAAGCTGTAGTGGAAGTGACATCAGGGGTGTGCTGGAGCCAGCTCTAACTGGCAACAGGCCTATTGCTAAATTTTCAGTGTGAACATTTATACCTCAGAAATAAATGATCACAAATCATGGCTAGATTTATTGTTTTGTTGATTGTCTAGATTTAAGAAAGTCATGGAGAAAATGCTAACAACACAGATTAAACTTAAAAGCATGTAATACATTTTCCTCCAGAGAGGCTGGTTGTTAAACATTTACTAGCACAGTGCTATAATTATATATGTGTGTTTATATATGCATTACATATTATAGCATTGCTCTATAAACATTACTTGACCTTAGCAGTGGTACAGTAGAAGGCTCAGGGAATAAAGTCATCACCAGAATGGAGATCTGATGACTATAGACTAATGATGATGATGATGATGATGATGATGATGATGATTGGCATTTGGATAATCTTTTAAGGTTTGCAAGGTCCTTTACATCCATTATCTCATTTGAGCCTCATAACACCCCTGGGTGGCATGATCTGGAGAAACAAGTTGTGGAACATGAATATATTTGAGTATTATTGTGCTGTAGCAATGATGAGGGACAGTTAGGTGGGGCCATAGTACATAGAGTCCTGAGCCTGGAGTCAGGAAGACTCATCTTCCCAAGTTCAAATCCAGCCTCAGACACTTACTGTCATTTAACCCTGTTTGCCTCAGTTTCCTCATCTGCCAGATGAGCTTGAGAAGGAAATGGCAAATCACTCCATTATCTTTGCCCCAAAATGGGATCACTAAGAGTTGGACTCAGCTGAAACAACTGAACAATAACAAGAAATGATGAATATGGAGAAACATGAGAAGCCCTATATGAACAATGACATAACAATCAAATTGATTGCTGTGAAATTATAATGAACAACTTTGGCCCCAAAGAATAGATATGGAAATCCGTCCAGCCTCTGCTTTTGTGCTGAGGCCAGGACTTTGAGCAAGCTACAAGTCAGACTTTTTTGATGTGTTGATTAGTTTTGCTGAACTATTATTTCCTGTCTTTAAAGTCTTTGTTCTAAGAAGTGGTTCTCTGGGAGAGGAAGTGGGAGAAAAATGTAGGTAATGTGAAAACTGAAGATATCAATAAAAATGTATTTAAGGAAACCCAGGGGATTGCTGGGAATTTCCCCAACTTCCAAATTAGGAGAGAAGAGGGAAGAGGAGAGAAGATATAAAGATATGTCTGGGTTAAAAGGGAGAGCCTAAGACAGAGCCCCTCTGAAGGGGGTCTGATTAAAGAGGTATTTCCTCCGTCCAGAGATAAAATGATGATGAGATGACATCACCCTAGTACACCCTATATAAACTGTGCACCTGAAGCCCTAAATGAGCTCTCAGTTCCAAATTGTTAGCTCCTATGCATGCTTGTCACCAGCTTTGACAGAAATAAAACAATGGCCACAGCCTAATCATGTTTGTCTTTCTTAGGCCAAACTCTGAGGTTGACACAACTTAAGAGTTTATCTAGTCCGATTATGCCATTTTTTTTCCCATTGGAGAAAACCCCCGGAATGGAGAGGTTAAGTAACTTGTCCAAGGTCACAAAGCTAATTAGTGGCAGAGCCAGGAGTATGCTGGTAAATGTTTAACATCTGGCTCTCTAAAAGGCACACCACACTTTTCAGTTTAATCTGCATTAACATTTTCTCCATCACTTTTCTAAGTTTAGACATTCAAAACAACAAATCAAGCCCTGATTTGTTATTTTGCCCATTTTTGAAGTAAAAATGCTTATGCCGAACATTTAACAATAGGTTACAGGAGGGGAAAGGAGGGAGCTGGTCCCTAGTACATAGGGGTCAATTCTTCATTTCCTACCAGCTGCTCAGCTTGGTTTTGACTCAGCAAATATCGTGCCCCTAGGCAAGGTACCCTCTGGCAGCCTCCTCCCTCCCTTTCAGCATCCTTTCATTTACCATCTTTCTCCAGTAGATTTTAAGTTCCTTGAGGATAGAGACAGTCTTTTTTTTTTTTTTCTAATTTGTATCCCCAGTGCTCAGCATTGTGCCTGGCACATAGTATGCACTTAATAAATGTTTACTGACTATTGACTATGGAACTCAGATCTGCTGATTCCCAGGGTAATACACATTGCACCATACAACACAGCCTCCCAGGATTGCATAAAGCAAATCTTTACAAGGCATATTTCCTTGAGCTGGGGCAAGGGATCCACAGCCATGCCAGGGAAATGAAGGGATCCTCAGAGGTGTAGTGATTCAATTCGTATCAATTCAATTCAACAAACACTTATGAATCGTCTACTATTTTAGGAAGTCTTTCAACATCTACTAGGATATCAGGAGGTGATTCTAGGGGTAATGAGCAGGAGGGAGCTCCCTTTTCAGAGTTTTGATCTCAGAATGGAAGGGAGATACAGTTGCAGAAGGGAGTGGACTGGGTGCTGCCTAAATTCAAACAGAAATAGTTGACCTTCACCCCCTTTCCTAGGTCCCCCCTTCGATTTTCTTCCTCTTTCCCCACACTCTTCTCCTTTTCTCTCTTCTTCACTCTCCCCAAACCTGTTGCACCTAAGAGCATTCAGAAGAATAATCAAAGACCTGGGATTCTGTGTAACTGTGAACTGTGCTTAGTTCGCTCATCCTGGATGTAATCCCTCTTTGAGCTTTAGTTTCTTCATATGTAAAATGGGGATAATAATATTCGTACTACTACCTCACTGATTTATTATGAGGAAAGCAACATATTCACTTCAAAGCTTATAGAAATGTAAACGGTTTTTTGTAAGATCCTTTCCAGTTCTAAATCTCAAAGTACTTCTCCCTCCTTTCTTGTAGTTTACCCCAAATTCTGACTCTTCTGTGCCATGCCCCTAAAATCCTCCTCCTCTGTTTACAAGTCCCCTTTTTTCCCCAGTCTTTAACCCCAAATCTCTCCCCTCTCCCATCCCCAACTCCCTAAATCCCACCCTGGGCTAGCTCCAGTCTCCAGACTATAAGTCCCTTTCCCCTCCAGTCTTCCATTCCCTTTTCTGGTCCCTTATCCCCAAATCCCTCTTGTCTTGACCCTCACGCCTTAAGACCCCCTAAATCTCACTCCTCTCGTTCAAGACACTGTCCTCTCCAGTTTTCTCTGTGACTTCCAAACCTTTTCTCCTCCCAGCAACAGGAGTGCAGCCCCTCTCTAGTCCCCTACCTCCAAATCCCTCCCTCTTCTATCAACAGACCACTCCCAAACCCTCCTCTTTCTATTCCTTACTCTAAAATACCTCCCCTCTTCCATCAACAAACCCCTTCACATTCTCCTTCCATTAAGAAATGGAGAGTGCCCCCGCCCCATATAGCTTCCTTCTCAGGTCCCTACACCCCAAATCCGTTCCTTCCCAGCCCCCTGAAGCCCCTCCTCCTCCCGTGCTGGGGCGGGGCTGGCGCAGGTTACTGCCGGCAGGGGGCGGCCCGAACGTCCAGCGCAGAACCCTGAGTCCGGAGCTTGGAGCCGGCGCGGCTATTTCTATCTCATGATCACAGTGCCCGGGCTCGGGGCTTTTCCAGCGATTTCTGCCCGGGCGGAGAGCGGGCAGCGGGCAGCGGGCAGCGGGCAGAGGACGGCGCCGCTCCGGCCCCCAGGAAGCCATATTCTGCATAGCCGGCTCCGGGCCCAGGGAGGCGGTGCGCTCCAGCCTCTGCGCTCCTGCCTCTGCGCTCCTGCCCCTGCGCTGCCCCCTGCTCGGCGCAGCCCCTGCGCTCCGGCCCCTGCGCTCCGGCCCCCGCGCTTCGGCTCAGTCCAGCGCCGTCCCTGCGCTGCGGCCTCTGCGTTCGCTGTGCCGCCGGCTCCAGCCCAGTGCCCTCCCCTCCGGCTGCTGCGGGGCCACCGCCGCCTGGCAAGATGAGCAACGTGTCCTTCCACATCTCCAATCTCCTGGAGAAGATGACGTCCACGGACAAGGATTTTAGGTAGGATTCCCCCGAAGTACCCCCTCCCCCCACTGGGAGAACGTCAGGTCCTTGAGGGTTGGGACTGTTGAGATGTTATCATTTTGTCCCAAGTATCTAGCATGGTGCTTGGCACGTAGCAGGTGCATAATAAATGCTTGCTGAATGACCCCGTCACTGGCCCAGCCCTCTTGGGCCTCAGTTTCTCGGGCCCAGGACTCCCACCTCCTTCCTTCCCTCTACCTGCTCTATCAGAATAGGCCAATTCCTTCCCCATCTGCTCCCTGCATCTCCCCCATTCCCCCCAATTCCTGTCTGTCTTCTTTACCCCCATCTCCATCTTCTCCCACACTATTCCAGCCCATCCTTCCTTCCCTACCTGCCCCCAAACCCATCATCAGAGCCATTGTGGTGTGGTAGGAAGATGCCAGTTTTGGAGTCTGGAGGACCTGAGTTCAAATGCTGCTTTTGATCATTATTACCCGAGTGGCCTTGGGCAACTCACTTAACTTCCCTGGGCCTCAGTTTCCTTCTCTTGTTAAATTATCTCAATGATCACTCTCTAATGATCTCAAAGATTTCTTCCAGCTCCAAAGTATGACCCTCTCATCTTCTGCCTCTTCGTCTTCCTCCTCCATCTCTCCACAATGCCAGTGCCTCCTTGATACCTCACAATGATGTTTTAAGATAGTGTGTTAAGTTGGTGCTGACCCTTCCTCTGAGTCCCCTTCCCTTCCTTTTGTCTTTTTTCTGTGTACAAAGTTTGGCCTTCCAGAGATTTTCCTGTAGATTCCTAGATTTTTTTTTTTTAAGAGGTAGAAGGAACCTTAGAGATAATTGAATCTAACCACTTCAATTTGACGTATGAGGAAACTAGAAGTGACTTGCTCAGGCTGATAGCCATTTAGTCTAATACTCTGCTCTGTGCTACTGTGAGGGGAGATTTGTTTCCTCCTTTGTAAAATCAGAGACCTGGACTTTATCTCCACAGTCCCTTCCATTTGCAGCCATTGACCCTGTGTCAACCTCAGAGGGGCTCTGAACATGCCCTTTCCTTGAAAGGGAGACATGGTATGGAGAAGCAGGTAGCACCAAGCCTCCAGGATAAATTGTGATATAGAGTGATGTTTAGTCCTGGGTCTTTGGGGCTGGAAGGAAGTGAGACTGGGGAATGATGAACACTCACCTTAGGTGGGAACACAGACAGAATGCCCAATGTGAGCGCTGGAAAGGACTGCTCAGAGAATCAGAACTCTAGAGCTGGAAGGGTCTTTCTAAGGCCAGTTCCCTCATTTTATAAATGGGAAAACTGATACCCAAAGTCGATTAGGTGACTTGTCCAAGGTCACACAAATGATATTTCTCAGAAGTAGGATTTGAACCTAAGACCCAATATCAGCTAGCCCAGCATCCCAGGTATTTGGAAACTGAGGCTCAGAGAATTAAGTTGTAAGTTGCTCAAGGTCACTCAGCCAATTAGGAGCAGAAACACAGCTAGAATTCAGATCCTTCCCCCTTCCAAGTGTAATGCTCGAATGATGCTGATTATGCGGTTGGCAGGGGGTGAGAGGAAGAGTGAAAAAGGTGAGTTCGTGGACACAAGTCTGGCCTTAAAGTCAGGAAAACCTGAGTTTAAGTCATGCTGTTGACCCAGACTGGGCCATGTGACCATGGGCAAGCCAGCGCCCCAGTTCCCCTGGCAGCTTTGTAAGACTGGCCGAGTTCAAATGGAAGGAGTTTCTACACTGCACATTCCCTGCAGAGAAGAAATGGTGGGTTTTACACCCAAAAAAAGTGGGAGGGGGAGATAGTAGAAGTGGATATAGACTAGTTTTAGGAGAGCAGGAGAGATCTCTGTGAAACTGTCCTGCCCAGAGGGCAAGAAATGAATGGACCTTCTTCCCAGCCCACCTGGGAATGAAGTGCTGGGTCCCTGGGGTCCTCCTTGTGGGTCTCCCTGCTGTTGGCTAGGGGTGGGACAAGCTGCCTGTCCCTGCCAGAAACCTGCCCTACATGGACCAAGTTGCCAGGCTGGACTGCCTGCTCCTCCGTACATACCACTGTTTATGGAAATGCAGAGTCAGCCTTGTGTCTCTCTGCCCAGGGCAGGGGTGGGCCTTGCTGCCTGGTTTCCAGTGAGGCCTAATAATGTGCCTTTTATTATAATAATCCCTTACACTTGTATAGACTATTATACTTTTCAATAAAGAGTATTTCACAGTGGACAAAATGCTTTCCTCTAGGATGGAAACTTGGCTGTGCTAGCTAAGGCTATACTCTGCTTGTGTGATTTTGAGTAAGTCACCCCCTTGCCCAAGACCACTCAATTTTCTTATCTTTAAAACAGGGGGGAGTCTGCTAGCTGATCTCCAAGGTGCCTTCCAACTCCAGATCCAATGTTGAAGTACGGAATGTAGATCTTTTTATTGCCATTTTACAGATGAGGAAACTGAGGCTTTGAAAGGTTAAGTGACTTGTACGTAGTCATGCATTTAGTATGGTTCAGAACTAGGACTCCAGTCCAGATTTTAGGATTTAGGACCAATTTACTTTCTTTCCTCTACATCACAAATATTCCCGTGCATTATTTATAAAAATCTCTCAACATCTGCGTGAGGTAGACAGGGCAGTGCACAGTTGCACAAATGAAGAAATTGAGACAGGTTGGCATCAGGGTACAGAATCTCAGAATTTGAGAATTGGAAAGAACCTCAGTGGCTGTTGGGTCCAACCTGTAAACAGAAGGAATCCCGACTGTGTTATGTTGGGGGTGGGGAGTAGCGCACTGCACCAGGAATGAAAAGACCAGGTTCTAGTTTGAATTTTGCTGGCTGTATGACCTTGGGCAATAACTTCTACTTTCTGAGCCCCAGTTTCCTCATCTGTAAAATGAAAGCATTGGACTAGAAGTCTCCAAAAGTCCTTCTAGCTCTGATGTTTTTTTCTCTATGAGGGGTTCATGGCAGAACTGGGCCTCCTGACACCTGCCCCAAAGGTCTCCTTCCTGTTTTGTTATTCTCTGGGATGGATAACACTCTAACCGAGCCTTACCAAAGCCTAGGAAATGAGCAGGAGAAAAAGTAACAGGAATTACAAATGGAGAAACTGAGGCCCAAAGGGAAATTAGTCATCTCGGTTTACCCAGAATCGCCTGGTTCTTAGTTATTACATTGTTCCCTCTGGGATCCTTAGACTCCTGAGAAGCCTGCCTTCTTGTGTACTTGGCATCAGGCTGAATAGATACTCTTCTGGAGTCAGTGGCTGCACATTCCATCTTCTGTGATGTGGAGACGAACTGCTCAGCCCAAGGCTATGTCATAGTCTTGCATACTTAGCTCCTAAAGGCCCCTGACTGTCCTAGCTGTGGTGTCCTAGAACCTTAGAAGGGCCCTTCTAGATGCTTCCACCGCTCTCATTTTACAGAATGTCTAGATTCTTGCCCTTTCATTTTACAGATTATAAAACTTGAGACCCTTGCCCAAGGTTACAGGGTAAATTAATGGCAAAGTTAGGGCTTAAACCCACATCTCCTGACTTCCAACCCAGGGTTCTTCCCATCACATCAAGCCAGCTTTTGACTTGGAATCCTAGAATAATAGAGCTGGGAGATACCTTAGGATTTAGCTGATCCAGCCCTCTCATGTTATAGATAAGGGAACCAAGACTCTGAGAGGAGAAATGACTTGTCCAAGGTCACATATCTACTAAGTAACAGACTAACACTAAAACTCAAGTCTTCAGACTCCTCTTCCATTAAAAATTCCAGCTCTGGAATGTAGATCTGGATCTAACAAACATTTAAGTAGATTGTTGGGTCGACCACTGAGTAGATACTGTGTCTCTTGGAAGTGACTTAGGGTATCCTGGGTGGTCCCTAGTCATCACTCACCACTGCCACCGTTCACTAAATCCAAAAGCCAAATGGGTACCATAGTTGTACCCAAGTTCAATCCATCAGTCAACAGATATTTATTTAACCCATTCTATGTAAACTCATAGAATTGAGAGCTGGGAATCCTCAGCACATAGAGAATTAGCCCTGGGCCTTATAACATAGATGTGAGAAGATAGCATTAGAGCTGTTAACCCCCCCCCCCCCCCAATTCAGTCAACTCCCGGGCCTTCCTGTTGCCTCTAGGATAAAATATAAACTCCCTCATTTAGCTTTTAAAGCCGGACACAATCTGCCCCCAGCATATCTTTTCTGACGTTATTACTCCCCCGTTCCACATTCTGTGATTCAGCCAAACTGGCCTTTTCTCTGTTAGTCATGCAACTTCACTCTAGCTCTCATGTCTGGGGGGCACCAGATGCCCCCCATGCCTAAAATACGGTCCAACTCTCTTCCTTTTGAGGTCAGGCACCAGATTTTATGAAGTCTTTTTTGATATCCCCAACTACCAAAGCCCACCTTCCCAAATTACCTTAGATTGAACTACTTTGTACATTTTTGTATTTATTTATATTTATGCTATATATATTTATGTATATTGTTGTCTCCTGCATCAGAATGTACGCTTCCTGTGAGTAAGAATAGTTTCACTTTTTGTAACCCTAGCTCCTCCCACTGTGCTTGGCACACAGTAGGTATTCAATAAATACTTGTTGATTGATTAAACACAGAACATTACAATTGGAAAGTTTAATACTTGTAAATAATAAATACTACTTTAATAAATATTTAGTAAATACTTGTTGATTGAATACAGACTGTTAGAATTGGAAAGAAACTTAGCATGTGTTAGAACGTGACATGTTCAAGAGAGTAGGGTCCTTAGAAAATATCATTTTACAGATGATGAAACTGAGGTCCAAGAAAGTGAGATTGACTAGCCCAAAGTCATGTAACTAGGGCCTGGCAGAGCTGGAACTATAACCTGGGATTCTTGCATCTTAGTTCAAGATTGTTTTCTCTGGACCAGGCTAGCTAACTGCTTTGTGCACCAAGCTAGGAGTGGAGAGAGGCACAGAAGTCACTGTCCTCTTTGCACAACCCTGGCTCCTGAAATCCCTGGGTCTCT